GGGTGAGGACCACTTCCCTGGAAAGTTGGTTCCAGATTTTGGCCACCCTAACTGTAAAATATCGCCTTCTGATCTCTAACCTAAACCTATTCTCCATCAGCTTATTACCATTGTTCCTTGTCACCCCAGGTGGTGCTTGGGAGAACAGGGCACATCCTATTTGCTGTTGATCTCTCCTGATGAGTTTGTAGGCAGCCACCAGGTCCCCCTTCAGCCTCCTTTTGCTGAGGCTGATCAGGTACAGGTCCCTCAGTCTCTCCTTGTAGGGCCTGTCCTGCTGCCCTCTCACCAAGTGGGTGGCCCTCCTCTGAACCCTCTCCAGGCTGGACGTATCCCTTTTGAAGTGCGGTGCCCAGTACTGGACACAGTACTCCAACTGCAGCCTGACCAGTGTTGCATAGCGGGGGGAGTATCACTTCTCTGGATCGGCTTGAGATGCATCTTTGGATGCATGACAAAGTATGGCTGGCCTTGCTGGCTGCAGTCTCACATTGGCAGCTCATGTTCATCTTGGAGTCGATAATGACTCCAAAATCACTTTCCACCTCTGTACTGTCAAGGAGGGAACTCCCCAGGCTGTATGTATGCTGTGGATTCCTTCTCCCAAGCTGCAGCACCCTGCACTTGTCTACGTTGAACCCCATCCTATTCTCATCTGCCCACTTTTGTAGTCTGTCTTAATCTAGTTGCAGCCTCTCTCTCCCTTCAAGTGTGTTCACCTCGCCCCACATCTTAGTAACATCAGCAAACCTGGGCAGCATGCTTTCCACCCCCTTGTCCAAGTCGCTGATGAAGATGTTAAACAGTGCGGGCTCATGGACCAAGCCCTGGGATACCCCACTGCTCACATCTCGCCAGCCTGAGTACAACCCGTCCACTACTACTCTCTGGGTGCGCCCCATCAGCCAATTTTTTACCCATCCAACTGTGCAGGCATCAACACCCAGCATTCCCTAATCCAGCAACCTGGTTTTAGTCAATCAAGTTTAAATAGGCATTCCATAGTGGGACCAGGGAATGTATGGCCCAAGATGCCTAGTATACTTTTCTTCTGCTTAGTTCTGGTTACCTGAGGTGTGTGTGTGGGGAAATAGAAAAAGTCCATTGTAAGTCCAGCAAGTTGGGTGCCAGGCCTCTCTCACGAAGACAGAGCTGACAGGTAACACCATGCAATAAGTATAACATCTGTACCCAGCCAGTGTTTCAGGTAATTCTAATTATATCTACACTGCAAACTTACTGTGGCAGAAAATGGGAGGCTCAAACATCTTTCTGCCACATGTTAAATCAAAAAGCATGTAGACATATTTGCATAGTGCTGCAGGTTGCCTATTAGAACTCTCAGTGCTACGTCTTTTCCAGTCTTGCACCTAGGGCAGTATATTTGAATGCACTGCTGGGTTATAAGTAAATTTAAGCTATAGATATATTCTATATGTCAGTAATTTATGGAAGAAATATGTATATGCCTTTTTTAAAAAGCAAGCTTTATAAACCCAAATTCAAAGAAACTCATGGTTCAATAAGGATAATCAATCACTAAAATACTTTCCTAAGGACATGGTGTATTCTCCCAAATCACAACTGGATATCTTTCAAAAAGGTTCATTACAAGCACAATCAGACACTGTAGACTTGATACAGGCATTGGTGGACAAGTAATTATACAAGAGGTCAGACTGCATAATCATAGCAATCCCTTCTGGCTTTAAAGCCTATGAATTGACCTTCAAGTATGCAGTGCAGTCCTCAAAACAAACTGAATTTGGCCCTAAGATAATGCCATAGAGAAAACAAGAATGGGGGGTGGGGTAGCAGGAGCTGGTGGCAATGGAACCTGGCCATGCTGGGTGGGAACTTACCCAAGTGAGCCTGGGAGGAATGATGTGGCTGCTGATGCATCAGAGAAAAGGGTTCAGCAACAAGCCCCAGAGAGGGGATGGCCTTCCAAGGTCTAATTGTAATGTACGGCGGGGAGGGGGAGGGACATCCTCATTGGTCCAGAGGGCAGACAAAACAACAAAAGGAAGAGTCAGAAAACAGACCGATGTTTGGCCTTTCCCCAGAGAGGTGAAAGTACAGCGGAGCCAGAGAGCTGTACATCTCACATGGAGTCATGGGACTCAGATGGATTAAACAAGGAGTTCCAGGGGAGTGCAACTGGGACTCTGTGAGGACCTGGCCAGAGCTAGGAAAATGTGCTAAGGAAAGCACTTCTGGGATGAGGGCTGAGCTCATAGTACCGGCGATGGGTGGAAATAAGAGCCGCACCCTGAAGAAGCCAGTGAAGGCATTGCAATTGTGAATACAGGATGGAATCACATTCCTAAGTGAGGAGTATGGCAGTCCATTGAGGGATGGATTCAAGAAATTCAGGAGACAGAAACTATAAGCCTTAACCAAAAACTGAAAAGCAGATGCATTCATTGATATTTATGTTGAGGATCCAGAAGTGAATGAATTTGGGGACATTTTGAATGAATTTATGGGATTAAATAATAAATAAGAAGGGAATTAATTTATGGACATTTTGGAATTAATTTATAGGATTGATTAACCAATAAGAAGTAAATTAATTCATGGACATTTTGAATAAATTTATAAGATTAAAAGGGAAAAGAAGTTAATTAATTTGGGACATTACACATGAATGTATGCAACATTCAGAAGAAAGAAGTGAATTAATATTCTGTTTGTGAATGTTCAATTGAAGGACCCAGCATGACTTAATGCCTAGGCATCTGTATCTGTTGCATGTAGTGAGAAACAAGAGAGGCAAAATGAACTGAGAAACATAAACATTGGACTGACATGAGTTATCCATTGAAGACCTGAAAGGAAAGGGGCAGAATGTAGGGGAGGAGGAGCCCTGAAAAAAAACAGCAACTTCACCCTGAGGGACCATCAGTCCTTCCCAAGAGAATCTAAACATCAAGATATGGTGGGAGAGCGAGAGAATGGGATGAAGGACAGGCAAGTTCCAACAAGGCAATAGTCTAACAATTTGCACCTGCTCACAGGGGAGGACCCTTTAATCTTTCCTGTTAATCTCATCTGGAATCATTAACACTAATACGTACACTCCTAATTGTATGATACCACAGAGAAAGTTTTAAGTTGTTCAGAAAATGCATTAATTGCACCTTTCCACACCTTAGAGTGTAGAAATTTAAATTAAACCATAATCTGAATTTTCTCCTTTTGGAATTATTACAACATTCATATATATATATGAATATTGTAATATTCCAACAAGGAATAATGCCAACAAGGAATATATATATTCTTAATGTAGTATCTTTCAGCCTTAATTCTAACTCACATTCATTTTACAATGGTTTAACTTAATTGACTTCAGTAAACCCTTGATTTATATGATTTAAGGGAGATCAATACTAGGTTCTGTTGGATGCCGAAGTAACAGTCCTCGAGAGGAAAAGCTTTTCTAGTTTGGGAGAGTTTAGGAAACGGTAGTTTCCTAAACAGTAGTTTCATCATTGCAGCTCCCGTTATTGTGCTTCAACGCTAACCTATAGATTTGTCATTTAAACAGGGTGTCACAAGGTGCCATACAACACTAGCACTGTTAGCTTTGAAAACACGATTCACAAGATAAAGCCAGAGATTTTAAACAGGAACCCATAATGTTAAAATCATTCTGATCTGTTGTGGTCTTTCTGACTTCTTTGCAACAAAAGAATCTGAATTATTTTTTCTGTAATGAAAAACAAACACAACACCCCCAGGGCAGAAGGGGCGAGCCATCAAGGTGGCTGGGTCAAACTGGGATGCAAATGTGCCAGTGGCTAGTATGCCATGCAGCAACTGCCACTGCAGGTCACCAGTCTTCTTGGTGGTTGGCAGCTTATAGAATATGCGCCAAGCCAGGTTGGCCAGTGGGGAATCTGGTGGCCCCAGGCGCCATTGCCATGGTGTATAGGGGCGGTCCACTAACACCTGGGCATGGCAGACCTGAACCACCCAGGCATATAGGCTTCTACATGACAGAAGAGCAAAGGCCAGGGTGATTGACAGTGTGGGAAAAACCTTGCTCGGGGCATATATGGCACAGGGGACCTGGCCTGCCCGTAGATGGTCATCCAGGGTGGCTGCTGCCTTCAACGGGAGGGCAGCCTGTATGTGACACAGGAGACAGCTTGTGCTGCGGATGGAGCACATGCCCAGCTGGGTGGTTAGGGCTTCAGGTGAGAGCCAGGCTTACTGAGTGGGGTCATGAGGATGGCTCAGGCGGAGGATACACACCTGGATGAGAATGGCAGTGAGGCCGGCAGTAGCCAGGCTCGACACGGGGCACCTCAGAGCTGGGTTGTGCACTAGGGATTCCCTCAGCAGCTGTGGAAACTGCAGGTGTTGAGCCTGGGGCTGGAGGCAGAAGATGACCTGCCAGGCTTGTACCATACCATGATAGAAAGCTGGAAGCACCTCCCCGTTAGGGAGCATGAGGCCCAACAGGAAGTGCTCCTGATCAAAGCTGAGGGCCCCCACCCTCTCCAGGAACCGGCACGCCAGTTGTTGCCAGGGTAGGTGCTCCTCACTGTACAGGAATTGTTGAAGGGCCTGCAGGCAGAAGGCGGCCACCTTGCTCACATGGTCAACCAAATTCTGGCCCCCCTCAGCTACAGGTAGGTAAAGGACAGCTCATGGGAACCAGTGGTGCCCATTCCAGAAAAAAAAAATCGATCAGGAGGTGCTGGAGTCTTTCAAATAGGTCCTGTGGTGGATTGAATACGGCGCACCAGTGCCACAAGGTCATCACCACCAGGTTGTTCATGATGAGGACACATCCATGATAGGACAGACTGGGTAGACACCAGTGCCATCATTGTAGGCGGGCCTCTACCCCTTCCTCAAAGCTGTTCCAGTTGCACACCATGAAGCTCGATGGCCCTAGGAACACGCCCAGAACCTTAAGGCCCTTGCAGCACCAGGTAAGGCCCCCTGGCAAATCTGGGGGGTCGCGCTGATCCACGCACCAAGCAGCAGGGTATCACTCTTCGCCCAGTCGATATGGGCTGAGGAGGCACATTCATAGGCTCGCTGGCAGTCTGTTAGGGACTCCATGTCTTCCTGGGTGTTAAGGAAGATGGTCACGTCATCTGCATATGCTGATAGCCAGAGCAGAATGGATAGGCCTGTGGCTGATGGCAAAGCCACACTGCTCAGGCAGCGCCACAGCACATGCAGCACTGGCTCACTGGTGAGGGCATACAGCATGCCTGACAGAGGACAGCACTGACAGATTCCTTTACATGCAGGGGCACAGAGCTCCCTGTTTACATTGAGCAGACTGGAAGTGTCTTGATACAAGACCCGGAGGGCCCAGGTGAAAGAGGCCTGAAGCCTCCAGAGTCTGGAAGAGGTAGGCGTGGCCCACCCAGTGGAAGGCTTTCTCCTGATCCAGAGAGATGAGGCCAATGTCTAGGGCAAAGAGTTCGCTGGCTGTGAGTAGGTCGCGCAGCAGAAGCAGGTTGTCTTGGATGGTTCTGGCTGGCATGCGATAGCTCTGCTCGGGCCCAGTGACGGAGGCCATGATGGTGCAGAGGCAGGTCACCAGTGCTTTGGCCAGAATCTTGTAATCTGCGCACAGCAGGGAGACCAGCTGCCAGTTCTTAATGAAGCCAAGTTCTCCTTTCTTGGGCAGCAGCGTGAGCACTGCATGGTGGCAGCTGATTTGCAGGACCTTGTTGACAAGGCTCTCCTGGAAAACACACAGGAGACAGGGGCCAACGAGAGGCCATAAAGTCTTGTAA